AGAGATTTGCCTTTAGCCTCTGTTGAGGCCCTTGGAGGACAGGGACCCACACTGCCACCACCCTCCATCTGTTCTCTGGAGCAGTCTGCCCTCCAGGCCCTAGGGACAGATGCCATCAAGGTAAAGTCCCTTGACCAGTGAGGGGCATGAGCCGTTTTCATGCCTCTGGGGTGTTCTTGTTTATTTATAACTCTGGGCTCCTCCCCTCTGGCCTGCTTCCCATCCAATGGCCAGGATGGCTGACAGGAAGGTGGACGGGGCCAGGCAGCGCAGGGCAGGGCAGGGCAGGGCAGGGCTGGGCTGGGCTGGAGATGGTTCTGGGCTATGGCTGCTGCTGGGCCTGGTCCAGAAAGAACCCTGCCCCCTTCAAGAGCCCCCCAGATGCCTGGGTTCCCACCTTTAGTGCACCCTTAGTGCATCGCGGCCTGCCTCTCCTTCCTCAAGGCCCCCTCCCCGCCTCCTTTCCTGTGCCCCGACCCAGAGGGCACACGGTGACGATGCCAATGCCGCCCGGGGCAGGCAGCTTAAGGCAAAGTGCGGACGGAGGGAAACTTCCCCGTCAGGCCCTCTTCTCTGGACCAGAGTCTGTGCCTGTGGGGACCTGTGTTTCCAGGGCCTTTGATGGGCAGACGTTGGCTCCCGGCCCCAGAGATCTGACTCCTCCTTGCTCTGAACAGGAAAGGGCTTGCCTTACCCACACCTGGGGTCTGGGTCTGACATAGCCAGGACCCAAAGGAGGAGCCTTTGCACCCAGCTTGCAGGTCGAGTGGGGTCCAGAGGGGGGCCCTGCAGAAATAGGCTTCCTGGTGGCAGCAAGCGCGGCTGCCCCTGGGGCGTGGGTGGGAGGGTGGGCACGGGTGTGTCTGTTGACTGAGATGTGCAGGGGGATTGGAGCCGGAGCCGGGGTCCCAGGGAAGATGAAAATCCGGCCGTGGCATCAGGGCGGTTATAAGCATGAGAACGCCCATCTGTCCTGCCACCCTCTCGAGGTGTAGTGAGTGGCTGAC